TCATAATGTGTAGTTCAACAAAATAAAGTGAATACATTCAGTACATGTACAGTAATTAGATAAACTTGGTATTTTGCTTTTTGTCTTATTGGCTAACAAAGATCAATGTAAACATGTATGCATTTTTAATTGCCATCACATGCAGCCAGTTGTGTCATGTTCAAGAATCCTGACAATTTCGTTGTTTTTATGTCAATACAACAAAAATGTTCTTTCACAAGGATCTGCAGTAAGCAAAATTCACTGTATATTCAGATTTTGAAGCACGTCTTATGGTGTGATATGTCCGTTCCTCTTTTCCGTCTCCTTCTGGTAGTTCTTTTTCTGAAAAGGACAAAATATTTTAATACAATAAGAATGAAAAATTCATGTTTTACTTCTTTCTTACACTGCAAACATAGTATGACTATTCTATATGAATATAAGACACTTTTGAGATACCTTTTTTATATAATGTCATGATTTTTTTTTAAATCAAATGCTTATAAAGTCAGCCTCATTAATCTGGGCACTTTTGCTCCCAAGAAAATCATTCGGATTATTGAATTGTCTTAATTTAACAAACTGGTATATAAGGATAAAGATAAAATATTTTAGTTTCTAAATGTAGGCCACACTCTAAGGCCAAGATCATGGGGTTAAAGGAAAAGAAATAAACATGAAATACAAAGACTCAGGACAAACTGTTCAAGAGTTAATACCAAAGGATCAAGTTTTTGTGGAAATAAAAAACTACATGTACCTGTCAGTGACACATCAATGCATATACAACTAGCAACCTAACTATTATATGTGGAATTAAAATACTTTTCTTTTTACATCTTATTTCATTTTTTTTAAATTCAGTTTTGTCCTTAATTACCTTATTGATATAAAATTAATCCAATATTCTTTTGTAACACTGCAGATGACACCTGATTAGCCAAGGATCCTATATTTCCATGGGATCTGTAACATGATGAAAATAAAATAAAGTAAATAGCTTGATATATTTTTTAAAAAATGTAGAATTTATTAACAATTTTGATTTATTTTGCAAATTTAGCTATGATAATGTGAAGAGGTCAATACTGTTAAATCAAAGTACTCAGAAGTACAGAGAGCCGGGCTCATTTACAGCTAGAGTAGAATTGATTTCTTACATGAATCACGTTTATATTCTGATGGAAAAAATTATTTTAAAACTATCAATATAAATGTTAGACACTGACAGTGTGTTTTTCAATCCTAATACCACGGTCCGATTTTGTAAGAATCAGAATTAATCTGGAACCGCAGCTGAATGTAAACAAACAGGCCAGTCTGGTTCCCTTTCCTGCTTTACCTCGTATGTGTAGAGAACTACGGTAACACTGATTATCAAAAATCCTTACGCTAATGAACTATGTTCTTTGACTTATGAAGTTTTCAAAGTCATTACTACTAATGTTTATTTGATACAGATAAAACTTCGTTTTATTTTTGCTTTATTTAGCGTTTGTATTATCTCAAAAGCGGTTGAGAGTAAGAACTATATTTTTGCATTTAACTTTAAAATGGCGACTATAGGGTCAACATCCTGCCTTGAATAGGATCACATAAGCCGGCAATTGCTCTTTGAGCAATAAGCCCGGCTAAAAATCATGTCAATTACAAGTTTTTTAACAATACTGAGTTCTTCATATTATCATACCAATTCTTTGGTGCTTTAGTTGAAATAATTTCATTCAAGTTAGAAAACATCTTTACATTTTACAATTTATTTGGTTATTGAGTTTTGAATTCAATTTACAACATGACTTTTTATATGTTTATACACAAATATTTAACCATACATGTATTTAAGTCAATAGAACACCTACTTGTAAGTAGTGATGCAAGGATCCCCGGTTAGATTCTCAGTCCAGCCATACATTTTCCTCGTTTCCTGACACACAAGTATGCCACTTTATGTTCAGTTTGCTGTAGCAGATCTGGCTTGAACTTTCCTGAAATATTAATATGATCTTTGAGAAATTATTGACTTAAGAAAATGCTTATACATGTTTACAATAATACTGTATGTACATTATGGTTTTTAAGTTAAAAATACAAGGACTAAAAATCTAAAAATCATAAATTTAAATTCTTAATACATGTATTATAAAACAGCTTCTTTTTACCACCCCCTTGAAAAAAAAATTCCGGATTTTCCCTGATACATGTGCAAATGTAAATTGAAAGGAAAAAATACAAACCAATGGCTATTTTGAAGTTAATGTAAAAAGCACCCTTTACATTCCTCTTTCCAGGTGACACTTGATTTGGTCCCATTATTTCAGCAGAGAAAGCTGAATACACTTGCTTCACCTGTAGTATTAGATATTTCTTTTATAATCTATGAATATGATATCTGTTTATAATCAGGGCCCTTTTGAGCATAAAACAAATACATCCATAATTTTATTACAGGTACATAAATATTACATAAGGCTAAAAAAATAGTCTTGTTTCCTGCTACCCGACTGACCCTATTTTTTGTTACTTGATCCTATAAAGTTGTTTCTTTTTTTTCAATGCAACTTTTTACAATTTGCTTGTTATTTCAAAAAGAGAAAAGATTTGCAAGTAAATGTCCACCATCATTTATAAAAGGGGTTATAATAATTAAAAAGCATCTCCCATCCAAAGCAGAGAAATTTTATACATTTCTGCATTTGAACAATTTAAGCAAAATATGTTTTTCCATATTTTGATCTAAGTAAGTTATAAAACACCACCTCGTGTGTTAGGCACAGATAAGTATGATAACTTTACATTTTTTACCAATCCGGCCTTTATCATGTTCTGACACCAGAAATGTCCGGTTTTATTCTTCTATTCTAGAAGTTACAGTCTGGTCATGAAATAAGTTTTAATTGTTAGCTAAATAAAATTACTTTAGGAAGGAAAAAAATCTATGAAGGTTATTGGTAATTGAAGCTAAATATACTAGTTGTACCAGACTTGTGCGTAAACAAACAAGCACCATAGTCATGATTGATATACTAAGTCGTAAATATTCACCTTATGTATCTGACACGGACACAGCAAACAAAAAATCTGTTCTGCAAAAATTATACTTCTTCCGTCATACCAATTAACATCTGTAGGGTCATGGCCTTTAAAATGTCTATACAGAAAACAACATCAGGCACAGAACGATACCGGTGTACCCACATGGTGCTGCAGCGGACACTGGACAAGGAGTAGTTTCACAAATATTATGTTCATGTATGGCTTCAGTCTCACTTCTATTTTGATTCTCATGAAAATGCTTCAATTTCGAGAACCGTAAAGATTTAATACGTATGGTAACTTTGTCTTTTAAGTCGAGGAAATTTCCCGATCGCTTCGTTGGCCATCTTGTAGCATAGACAATAATGTGTAAATGGAGACTTTTATTTGACGGCGTTCCGGAATCCGGAAAAAAAGCACGTGCAAATATGCGAATTCTTTCTATCACGTGATTGCTATCGGTCTCTACCTTAAACGTCTATAAAATATATTCTTTGAAACATTATTGAATGAAATTTTGTAATTTTGATTAGATTTAGTTTTATGCATCTTTTGGTACATAATATTTGATAATACAATGCCAAATATAAAAAGATATGAACACAGTGACATTACTTTTGGATCAACCCTCGTATACAGGATAATTCTTCAAAAATATTCTTCTCAAGAATACCAAAGCCATAATTGATTATATTTATATGGAAGCATCCTCAGTTTAGATTTAAGTTTGTTTAAATCATGACCCCCCGGGGTAGGGCAGGGTAAAAATGGCCGACCCAAGTTTTACTTAGAAATATATAGGAAAACTCTTTAAAGCTATATATGCCGTATCAGTGTTTTATTTTAAAAGAAATAAATATATGTGTGGTCTCATCAAGTTATATAAGATATACTTTCTGGAATTAAGACAATACCACTCGATCACTTTTAAAAGTTATGAAATACTTGGTAAAAATTATTTTCTCTCCGAGTCGGATAATAAACCGCCTCTTATTGAAATATTCATGATCACGTCTGGCATGCTCACAGCAAACAATGGTCCAATCTCGTGAATGAACCGAAAAGCATGATGGTTTACTACGTTTTTACTACAAACATGTAAGTTTGGGATTGTCAATATGTGAGCACACCTCAGAGTTGGTTGCTTTTTGTACCGAGGAATAATCATGTGCAATTGTCTTTTCACTGGACATTTTCGGTTGGGTGAACTTCGTACTGAAGATCCGTAGTCGTTATTTTGTAAATGTTCACCCAACCAAAAATGTCCACTAGCAGTACAGCGCGGGGAAACTCTAAACAAACGTACCTGTACAATGGAGTGGGTAATACTTTAATATGTATGCAAATATGAGCATGGAATTAGTAGATAATAATGTACATAATACATTAAGCATGTAAATGCTTGAGAAAATGCATCAAGTTTCTCCGAGAGCAATTTAAAAAACTAGCCTTTTCGAAAAACACATGTAGTATTTTATGTAGTAACCCATACATGCATTAAATGCAACTCATTGAGCTGATTGGTCGATTTGTGTTCCTCGCTGAACAGACGTCACAAAAAATATTTTCCTCGACCTGATGGTTCTCGCGATGCTTTTCCGGCGCACATGCGCAGATCCAGGATAAATGTCAGTCCTTTATGAATATGCATGAGAATATCCTGTTTTTTTCACGACCAGTACTTTGTTAATACCGAATAATATTTCGTCAAATTAGCAATAATACTTCATTTTTGATAGCTTATCGTACTTTACAAATTTTTGTTCGGTTTCAGCTGGGTGGGGCTCTAATGATTATATAAATGTAGTGAAAATGCATGAATTCTTTAAAAAATTTCTCTTCTGCTCCTGGGTATTAAGCTGATTAACTCAGTTCATAGTAATAAGAAGGAAAAGTGTCTATTTTTCCAAAATTATGAATTTCATGGGCCCCTGGGTCAAGGGTTCTATGGAGGGTGGGTTGGGGCTTATGCCCCTCTTTGAAAAATGGAGGGTATATTGCTTTGCTGCTGTCTGTTGATTAGTCTGTCTGTCGATCCATCATCTGTTTCCTTCCTTTTTTCGCAGTTGTTACACACATTGAAATAAAATTTTATATACAAATTGATCATAGGAATTTCTAGGTCAGGTTCTGTATGGGATACAATTGAGCAATTTTGGATAAAGTTATGCACCTTGGACTTAGAAAAATTCCAATTATTTGGGGGAGGGGGAGCATAAGTGTTTTACAAACACTTCTTGTTTATTATTTACTGAAAAAAAAATGTTTAAATGTTCTACTCTACTCCTGGATATTATGCAGATGCAGCAAATACATATTTATGATAGAGAAAAGTTTCTCTTCCCAGATCGTGAATTTCATGGTCTCTGGGTCAAGGGTTCCATGTGTGTTTGTGCGGGGAAGGGGGGGGGGGGGCTTATATATTATTTTCTGAATAAAAATTAAATGCTATTGAAATATTTTTTTTCCACTGCTCCTTGGTATATGTATTATTTAAACAAACTCAATACATACATATAGTTATGATGAGACTCCTGAAGGGCTCCTGAACTTGCAATTAATTGATTAATCAGCAAAAATGAATAAAACCTTTGAAAATTCCTCCTCTGCCCCTGAGTTTTAAGCAAACAAACTAAACAATGTTAAACGCAACTATCTTTATATATATTAAGAAACAAAATGAAAATAAAAGTTTGGTTTAAAAGAGCAAAACATGCTCAAAATCAGATTCTTCCCTTGAAAGCATTGTAAAAGATTGACCTAATGATTATTTCTATGATTAAAAAAAATTGTACTTGTATGAATAATATGTATCATGTTTTGCAATTGGGTGTTAGAGTCGCTAGTAAAAGATTTATGAATGACAAAAGATTAGATACACTTGTTTTTTACTTTATCAAAGTGAGCAGAGAGCCAGTGTGTCTTATTGTCATAAGTGACAAGTGGCCAAAAGCCATGTTGTATACCAAAGTCTGCGTGTTCTGAATTGCAGCACCGGGCAATGACAAAACGTATTTGTAAAAATTGAATACCTTACACACAATAGATAAGTGTCAATTTGTGTTGTGCATTTGTTTCCATCCCTGTAAGATTTCGGGAAAAAAACAGTACAATGCAAAGGAATTTTTACTATATATCAATTTCTTCTTTTACAGTGGCTGATGATGACTCACCATTGAAGACATTTATCAGGATAAACGCTGCAGATTTGAAACCAGACCCGGGCAGTGCAACTGACATCTCCAATACAAATGAACAAGAAGACAATTTGGAGCAAGAAAGTACTGATAAAAATTCTGAAGTAGTTTATAGCCGAGAAGAAAAGAAAGAAGAGAAAGTTGAGAGGTCCATTTCTCCAACTAAAGGCAAAGAAGAACAGAATACAGTTGAGACAATGGCCAGTGTTCTCTCCTCAGAAGCACAAGAAATGTTGAAGGATGAAATTTTCCAAAAAATCTTGTCTGAAAAAGAAAAATTCCCAACTGTAAGCTTGCTGGATTTTGCTGGGCAGTTAGCATATTATGCTTGTCACCAAATTTACGTAACACCAAAGGCCTTCTTTATCCTTGTGTTGGACATGACTAAGAGGTTTGAAGATGTTGTGGATAAAGAGAAAGATAACCAAGAAGGATCAATCTTTTCTGTTTGGACTTACAGAGGTAAGACACTTATAAAATGTCAGATGTTTTAAGGTAGTAACAGGTAATAAGTTTACGCATCCATTTGTAGTTTTTAGCTCACCTGAGCCGAAGGCTCAAGTGAGCTTTTCTGATCACATTTTGTCCGGTGTTCGTTCGTCTGTCTGTCGGTCTGTCTAGCTGTCTGTCCGTCTGTAAACTTTTCACATTTTCGACTTCTTCTCAAGAACCACTGGGCCAATTTTGACCAAACTTGGTACAAATCATCCTTGGGTGAAGGGGAATTTAAATTGTTAAAATAAAGGGACATATCCCCTCGCAAGGGGAGATAATCAAGAAAAGACAAAAATAGAGTTGGGTCATTAAAAAATCTTCTTCTCAAGAACCACTGGGCCAGTAAAGCTGAAACTTATGTGGAAGCATTGTGGGGTAGTGTAGATTCTAAATTGTTCAAATCATGGCCTCCGGAAGAAGGGCGGGGCTACAATGGGGAATCAAAGTTTTATATAGAAATATATAGGAAAAATCTTTGAAAATCTTCTTCTCAAGAACCACTGGGCCAGAAAAAGTGAAGCTTATGTTAAAGCATTCTGGGGTAGTGTTAACTTAATTCTAAATTGTAGGAATCATAACCCCCTGGGGAAGGGCGGGGCCATTATAGGGAATCGAAGTTTCACATAGAAATATATAGGAAAAATCTTTGAAAATCTTCTTCTCAGGAACCACTGGGCCAAAAAAGCTGAAACATATGTGCCCATGGAAGGATCATGGGGTAGTGTAGATTTCAAAATGTCTAAATTATGATCAGTGGGGTAGGGTGGGGATGCATTATGTATAACAAGGGGGAAATCTGGTAAAGAACAGAATGGTCAAAGCTTCTCAGGTGAGCGATATGGCCCATGGGCCTCTTGTGTTCATCGACAATACACATTCATTTATCATTTTGTTAAGTAGCTTGTTTCATTGAAATTGGTCTAGTAGTTCTTGAGTAGAAGATGAAATTGTGAAAACTATTACAACAACAACAATGACAGACAACGGACAATTTTTTTATCAGAAAAACTTAATTTGACCTTAGATGATTCTCACAAGTTCAAGGTCACTAGCAGAAAATGTTTAAATCCTTGTCCAGGCCATATCTTTGTAATGGAGAATAACTGGGAGCTCATACTTGATACAAACTTTAATTTGCTTGTCATGATCTTCGGGTGTGTTCTGACCTTGAACATGGTCTTTTTCTGCGAGTTTAAGGTCACCAGCAAAAAACGGTTTATCATGTTTGTCCAAGTAATAATTTTGTAAATGAAATTTCATTGGAAGATCATTCTTGATACACAGACTATTAACTATCCATGGATGTTCATGTGCTTGATCCAAGGTTAATAAAACAAATTCAAGATCACTGGTAAAAAAAATTTAAGATTCACAAGAGGTCTATGATATTCTAAAGGATAAATTTTTCATTTCTGTATTTTACCTACAGAGTACCAGACTGTGTCCGTTCTAGCAAATGTTTTTTTTTTTATTTCAAGGTCAATTATTCAAAATTTAAATCGAAACTTTTAAAAAGATTGTATGGGGATAATTTTTTGTGAACTTGCAAACATTACCTTAAGTTCAAAATTGATTTTTATATCTATGTAAACCTTTGACCTCTTTTTGTGGTCTCATTTAACCTGGGCCATTATTTACATAATTTGAATCTCAGAACGTACTCCTAAGTGAAATCATAAATGGTGGCAAGTTTCATGTACTGTTATGTTTTATTTAAAAAATAACAACCCATGAAATTTGTCTTTCTGATATTAAAATTAATCAGTTAATGCTAAATGGGGTTCAACAATCAGATGGGGTTATTTTGTGTGAGATGACGATCCCATTGGGTAATCATTTGTGATGGGTATCATTTCATGTCAGTTGTGGTGGGTCTAGGTTCATTTCGTTGGATGTGACCCATAAATTGTACGTCAGTAGCCAGGAACGCGGCTAGGTTAAGGACTCCCAAATGTAAAGGTATATCAGTCTATGCAGATCTTCCGGCAAACGATTATGACATCATGGTGAAACCGTACAAATGAATCTCAGTGAATAAATAATAAATTCCTTTTTCTTACACTCTTGTATACTGTGATTTCTCATAATTATTGAAAACAAAAATTGATGTTTAACTTATCTTGTCATTATAACTCGACTATTTAAATGTAAAATCAAAGCCAACTTGATCTCGCTATACTGACAGTGATGACATCGTAGACTAGTTTGACATGCAGTTTCTCTGTACTTGAGACGCAGAACCGGCTATTATTGCAATTTGTAAACATGAAAAAAAAAATTAAGTGTGAGCTGACTAAAATTAAGTCATATTTTGAATACATTACTCAATTTTTCACAGTATTAATTAAATTTATAATAAATAGGTCTCTTATAATGCCGCAGTCATGCACTTAAACATACTACAATCACAGGCACAACCCCTCGCAAATCTCAAGAGTTCAACCATATCCACTTAACTATAGATTATGATATTTTATACACATGTAGCTACATGTGTATAAAATATCATAATTTATTATTAACCCTACCATTTTCAAAAGTGCTTGGAGTAAGTTGTGCACTGTTGGTTTTTTCGTAATTTTACATTATTTCAATGCGTATAATGTAAATTTACAAAGTTTATCAAAAGATAGCTAAATTTATAATAATTCCCGGGCATGGGAGTTGCTCCCAGCACTTTTCAGGTTAAGGAATTTGTCTTAAAGGAAACACAATCAATTTCATAGTGAAAAATTATCCATATATTGTTGAACTTTTACGATCTTTGTATCCGTTTATGTATTTTTTTCTAATTTTAACCAAGACACATGGCAAACAGCTGATGAACGTAAAGTCGCTTTGGCCAAACACGGTTGAGACGTACCCCATATATACATATGTTTTTAGTACAATTCCCATTAAATTGAAACTCATGCTAAGAGAAAAGATATCAACATTTTAATGATTTTCTTGGAATATTTTAAGGCATATTTCATATGAGCGGCCTTAACCTAGCTACGAATGATGAATCTGTTTTCAGAGGGTTTAACCATTGAAATGGACTTAACTTGTCTTTATTTGCTACATGTATTTGCCTTTTTTTTCAACAAAAGAGTTGTCATGTCAAACCGAAGGAAGAAGATTATGTAAATTTTTATTTTTCAAAAATTTAAATATTGCTCATTTCATAGTTCATATTTTATTTAATAATTATTGATGGGTTTACAAAATATGAAGTCATATTCATGTAATTCTGCTAGACTATTGTAAAACCAAAAATAAAAGTATTGATTGAAGGTCTTTTACTTTCCATGTTTTTCATATAAAGCAGTAGAGATACACACTTACCAGAGACACAGACCTGTTTGTTTTTATTAGGGTGCTAAGTTGTTCTTTTAGTTTAACAAATTTTGTTTTCTTTTAGATTACTTGAAGTTTTGGATAACCTCAATCAAGACATTTGGAGGCAAAAAGGCACCACTGTTTCTTGTTGCCACACACACAGAAACAAAATCTACAGATGTAAGTAACCAGGCTAATAGAAATGTGAATTACAAAAAATAACTGAAACCAACATATTTTGAGAATGCACTATTACAGTTTAACTTCAAAAATACAAAAGAACCAAAATTTTATTGAAAGTAAATTGTATCACATATTATATACATGTACTGTAAATGTATTACCGTAAATCTGGAAAATCTTGCTGTAGATAAATTTTTAGCAAATTTGCGAGTGTATTGCATTCGCAAAAATATTTTTCTTAAAAATAAATCATTTATAAGAAAATGTAAACAAAGCAGTGGTCTTTCGCAAAATTTAGAAACGTAAAAAATAATCAACAGCATTTTGACCCTAATTTGCAAAATAAAATCTATGTAAAAATTTCCAGATTTACGGTATATTTAGAAGTACGATATATGGCGGAAATTGGATTTTGAACAAGTTAGCGTGGATTTGATTTGGCGCATATCATAATGCTTTTCTTATATTTGCGAGGCATATAGCGTTGTTCTTGAATTAGGGGGGATTGCTTTCCGCCAAAAGTGCTTAAAAGAATACACAGCCAAATGTAATACATTTACAGTATTTTGTATTGCATCCTAAATTTCATATAAATTGTAATTCAACAATGGATACCAGATCTACAGTGCAGTTGAAGTCAGTTTGAACTGTGCACCACATTTAATACTGAAATAACCGTTACTGCACATTTTCAAACATCGACGAATAATTAAGTGGTTTATTTTACAAATATGAATTAATATTTATACACGCTTTATTTACTTCTTCAGGAAATAGAGAGGTTCTTTGGGGAGTTTTGGAATGCTGTACCAGACGAGGACAGAGATTGGTTAAGTGAGTCTCTGAATGATCGGGAGTATGCAGTGGGTCTAAAGGAACTTAATGATAACACTAAAGCAATGCTAGAGTCAATGAAAAACTCCATAGTGGAACTATTTACGGATGAGAATACTACAAAAATTGAATTGCCTTCTTCATGGGCTCTAATGGAGCAGTTATTGTATGAAGGAGGCTGGAAGGTTTTGTCTCTGAGTGAAATCTCGAAGCTCAACTCATCTCTTCCTTATGAATACCAAATCAAAAATGATGAAGAAATGACCAAATTTTTAAAATGTTTCCATGATAATGGTCTTCTTTTGAATTTTGGAGAAGCAGAATTGAGGGAACATGTTATACTAGATATTCAGTGGCTTGCTAATGCTTTCAGCAAGGTAATTGCTGATGAAAACCATATCAATAAAGATTGTAAAAGGAAATTAATTAAAGAGTGGAAATCCTTCAACAAAACGGGGGAACTTAAAGATAAAGTGATAAATGCACTGTGGAAAGATGAACCCTCTTTCTCGAAACATAAAAATGAAATTATGCCATACATGGAGAAACTGCAAATGCTGGTACCTTTGAATGTACTTGAGGCTGTATCAGAAGGTGGCATGTCATGGTATGTCCCATGTATGAACAAAAAGCAGTTTAAAGCTGACTTGTTTCATAATAAATGGGAATGCTCATCCATTTTGTGCTATCGATTTACTTCCTTTGCCATGTTTGTGTTCTACAGACTGGTAGCATACTGCATAAGTCTTCTAAAATGGACTGTTGCAAAAGATGAAGACAATGAAGGAAGTCTATGTCTTTATCAAACAGCAGCAGTGTTTGATCACAATGAACACACGGTTGTTGTTGGCATATGTAATGACGAAATTCAGTTACAAGTATTACGAATCAGCCGATTAGCCGTAGACAAAGACGTATCGAATGATATTGGAGACTCCATTGAACAGGCCTTAGAAAAACTGACGGAAACATTTCTTGGGGAAAAAAAGTTTTATAGAGGATTTAAATGTCAAAACAGTATTTGTAATGAGAAAGATCTATCTTTCACCCTTGCAAGTGAGCTCTCCAAAATTAAGGCTGAAGAAACACAATGCAAATGTCAAATTCAGGAGAAACATGTGATAAATGTACAAAGAACTCTTAGCTTCTGGGAAAAGGTAATTATGTTTCTTCCATATACCCTTCACTCCACAAAAAACCGAGTTGATTAGAGTATATGGGATTACCCTTTTTGTCTGTTTATTTGTATATTCATGCCAGGCCCTTAGCAGAATAGTTTTTTTATGCCCTGCCATGAAAATGGCCGGGGCATACAGTGCTTGTCATGTCCGTCTTCCGTCCTTCTGTTCTTCCGTCCTTCCGTCACACTTTGCGTTTAGCTCTGTTCAAAGCAAAGTTTCAAAGAAACTATCCAAGATATCTTCATCAAAATTCATATGCTGATATTGATGAGAGCTATGCAACTGCATCAACATTGTTTGACCTTGACCTTTCCTTTGACCTTGACCTTACTTTTCTCAAATAAGTGTTTAGCTCAGTATTAAACATACCATTCAAGATGGTGTTATCAAACTTCACATGTTGATACAAACTTGCATGGATGATGCATCTCAGGATGAACATTACCAGACTTGCTTCGGATGCTGGATCTGACCTTCATTTTCCAGATGAGTTCCAAGGAGTTCCAATTTTTTGGAGCAGGTCCATTCCTAAGGAACTATAAGCCCTACCTGAACCAAACTTGCATGGGTAATGCATCTAGGGATGGACACTACCACAATTGCTTCGGATGCTGGATCTGACCTATATTTTGTTTCCCAAGTAACTATAAACCCTACCTGAACCAAACTTGCATGGATGTTTCATCAAGGGATGGACACTACCAGACTTGCTTCGGATGCTGAATCTGACCTATATTTTGATTCCAAAGTAACTATAAACCCTACCTGAACCAAATTTGCATGGATGATGCATCTAGGGATGGACACTACCAGACTTGCTTCGGATGCTGGATCTGACCTATATTTTGATTCCCTAGTAACTATAAGCCGTACCTGAACCAAACTTACATGGATCATGCATCTAGGGATGGACACTACCAGACTTGCTTCGGATGCTGGATCTGACCTATATTTTGATTCCCAAGTAACTATAAGCCGTACCTGAACCAAACTTGCATGGATGATGCATCTAGGGATGGACACCACCAAACTTGCTTCGGATGCTGGATCTGACCTATATTTTTTTTTTCCAAGTAACTATAAGCCGTACCTTGACCAAACTTGCATTGATGGACACTACCAGACTTGCTTCGGATGCTGGATCTGACCTATATTTTGATTCCCAAGAAACTATAAACCCTACCTGAACCGAATTTGCATGGATGATGCATCTAGGGATGGACACTACCAGACTTCCTTTGGATGCTGGATCTGACTTACAGTACCGACCGGACACAACCTAACAGAAAGCGAACCCGGAGCGGACCCCGGGTTCGCTCTCTGGGTCCGCTCCGGGTTCGCTCGGGGTCCGCTACGGCTGACCCCGAGCGAACCCGGAGCGGACTCAAAGCGAACCCGTAGCGGACCCCGAGCGAACCCGAGGCGGACCCAAAGAGCGAACCCCAAATTCAGTAGCGGTCCCAGAGAGCGAACGCGGGTTCGGTATTTCTTTACGGAGCTGTCAATCAGGATTAGCGATTAACCAATCAGCGTGTCAACCAATCAAAATAGCATATTGATCTGTCGATTGGGATATAAGATCGAACGTGATGATTTAATTTGATTTCAATTTGAATCCAAACACTTCATACAAGCAAACCGTTTTAATGTGCTGTGTAAATCTATTATGATGATTATGATGATTAAAATACGATATGATTATTTATTTTAATTCTCCGGGTTGTATTTTATATTTATATATTTACTTCCTTTATTTTATTAAAGCAATTATTTATTAATAATTAATTATTTGTTTTAATTTTCCGCGTAGAATTATACATGAAATTTTACGTTTTTATTTCCTTTAGTTTTTTATACCGGTATTGAAAGTCCATTTGGTAAATAAATTGGGTAAATACATCAGTCAATGCAAAAAAATAAAAATAAAAAAAATAATTGATATTACAATTAATATTCTACTGACAAAAAGAGGAGAAAAGAAATAGTTGGTCTTTGACAATTATTGTAAAATTTCATTTTCTCAAGATACTAACAGTTCAATATTTAACTAAAAATAGATACAGGAAACATCAAGACGAGAGAGAGAGAGAGATCAGAACTATAAACTCTCATTATTAGACTTGATTTTAATAATAAAGCCTGTTGACTTACTTATTTTTTTATGAGTCCTCCTCCCAATATTGTACTCAAATTGTTTTCTATAAACCTGCTGCAGCTATTTTTTTTTAAATATACATGTACAGGAAGATGTATATAAAAGCACTAAGAATGACTTACAGTTTTCGGGACGCTCTGTCCCTTCCGCGGGACTTGAGAAAAAAAAAATAAAAAGTCATAAGATCAAAGGAAAAAGAGAAACCAAAAACAACTAGCACTCTAAACACTATATATTTACTTAGTTACATGTTCAATTGGAAATATATATAAACACTATTTAAGAAAGAAATCCGGACCGCTATGAAATACGTCTGGTTTATCGGGGTATACCCAGGTGAAGTGCGATTTACATAATGGAACGAATTAATTACGCTAATTGATCACAACATTTAGTAAATCGTACATTGTTCATTCTCTCAAAAATGCGTAACTATACTTGACAAAGAATAATCAGATAAAAATAATAAACAAGGGATATTTTAACATATGAATTACGATCTATTATACATTTTAAAATGTTTTAGGACTAATTATTGGGAAAAAATATTTAATAAAGGTATAAGCACTACATAGTTATGTGGGCTGTTCGAGAGTTGGTAACGCAAAATAACTGTAGAGTTACACTAAATTGAAAGAATAATCTTGTTAAGTATCATCAGGCATTGTGTCTAATTCTCGTTCACATTTTTAACGAACTTTTAATGTGTAACTACAATAATAATAAAAGAAATGTAAATATACCAGATGTACAAAAGTTTACGTGTAATTTATAGATGCGATATCATAATTCAGGTGTTAAGCAACATTTAAACTACGATTTAGCAAATGTAAGGAATAACAAATGTTTTTTAACTATATAAGCATGAATTCTAAAGGTATTTAGTTAGTCAATTTCACTTGTACACCATTCGATACTGAAAATCAATTCAACACTCTTTTTTGTTTTCTCGTTATAACTTAAGAAAAATAAATGCCTTATAACCCGCTGTTGAATTAGTTTCAATTTTTCAGGATCGAGAAATAAAGGAAGTCAATTATTCATGTACATGTAAATCTATGTCGAATGTACAGTTGAATTTAAGAAAAAAAAAATATCAATGTTCTCCATTATATCACTGTTTACATGTTCAGTGTACATGTCCACATCGTCGCATAAACAACAATAATCGATCAACAATACCATTACTGTATTGGAATATACAAGGGGCGGGGCTTACTGGCGGTGAGATTAAAGCGGGGTCCGCTTCACGCATCAGTGCGTAAAGCGGTCCCAGGAAGCGAACGCCGGGTTCGCTATAGCGGACCCAGAGCTGACCCCGAGCGAACGCGGAGCAAACCCGGAGCGCACCCAAAGTGCACCCGGAGCGGTCCCAAATTTTCTGAAAGCGAACCCGAAGCGGACCCCGAGCGAACCCGGGGTCCGCTCCGGGTTCGCTCTGGTGTTAGGTTGTGTTCGGTCGGTACTGTATATTTTGATTCCTTAGTAACAATAAGCCCTACCTGAACCAAACTTGCAAGGATGATGCATCTAAGAATGGACACTACCAGATTTTCTTCGGATGCTGGATCTGACCTATATTTTGATTCTCAAGTAACTATAAGCCGTACCTGAACCAAACTTCCATGGATGATGCATCTAGGGATGGACACTACCAGACTTGCTTCGGATGCTGGATCTGACTTATATTTTGATTCCCAAGTAACTAAAAGCCTTACCTGAACCAAACTTGCATGGATGATGCATCTAGGGATGGACAATACCAGACTTGCTTCGGATGCTTGATTTGACCTATATTTTGATTCCCAAGTAACAATAAGCCCTACCTTGACCAAACTTGCATGGATGGACACTACCAGATTTGCTTTGGATGCTGGATCTGACCTATATTTTGATTCTCAAGTAACTATAAGCTGTACCTGAACCAAACTTGCATGGATGATGCATCTAGGGATGGACACTACCACAATTGCTTCGGATGCTGGATCTGACCTATATTTTGATTCCCAAGTAACTATAAGCCGAACCTGGACCAAACTTGCATGGATGATGCATCTAGGGATGGACATTACCAGACTTGCTTCGGATGCTGGATCTGACCTATATTTTCCAAACAAGCAATTTACCTGCATCACCATTTAAGATATTTTGATCAATTTTACACACAAACACATTTTTATGTTGCTTTACTAATATATCCTCGGCGGGGCATTCATTCTATGGACATATTTCTAGTTTTTACTCTTTTAAGCTTGATCACGTCATCAATTTAGCATTGCTGTAAAACCTATTTAATTGTATCATATTAAAAAGGTAATAAAAAATTCTTTCTTTTTTTACACTTTTTCTCAAAGTAGAGTGTATACATTAATATTTATTTTGCTTGATTTAATTCATGTTCATATTTGCTTGATTAAATTCAGGTTCATATTGTTTCAGAAAGAAGTAAACAATACTAGCAATCGGCAAATATTGGCAGACCGATCTAGATTTGCAAAGCTTGGAATGGCAACAAATGATGTGTTGAATCAGGCATACAGAGATGTGCTGGAGTGGGAAATGCACCCTTCTTTTGTTTATAACAAAGTGAAGACATCATCAATTTATAAAACTTTACGCTCAGATCAGGAAGATCTCTTGAAAACAGCTGCAAGCTCTGGATATAAGAATTTTGATATTTCATTGATCTATATGTTGATCAGAAATGTTTGTTCAAAGATCCCTAAGCCAACGAAAGGAAAATGGGGAGGCAACAATATGCCTACAGCAGGAGAGATAAGGGTTGGTGATGATGTCGAGCGAATCAGGATAATCCGAAACTCTTTGACTGCACACGTGAGCTCAGCCTCCACCCCTCAGACAGAATTTGATGCCACCTGGACAACGATGTCAGATATCTGCAGAAGACTGGAAAACTTTACTGGAAAGAAATACCTGGATGATCTTAACAGCATTCAAACTCTGAGTTTAAAAGAAGAAGATGAAGATGCTATTATAGAAATGGTTAGAATGGAAAGTCAGTATGAAATGGTGAAGACAGTTATGTCAAATGTGCAAGACGTCGCGTCAGAAGTGCAGGAAGTAAAAGCAGCAGTATTAAGACTTGAGAGCAAGCATGCTGCAAATTAAGACTATTACTAACCGGTCATCTTTTAGAACACTTGAATGTACACTTTTATACATAATGAAAAAACAATATTGAACTCAATTTCAATTCACATTCATTTTATTTGTAGGATATGGTATTGTCAAAATACCGAACATCATATAATTTTATATGCTGAAACGCATATAAGGCAAAAGAAACACATTCTTTTCTGGATGTGATGCTTTTAATTCCTCCAATGACTGAAAGCATACATTCCAATGCTTATGCTATGAATTTTCAAACTGTTTGACCACAAAAATATACTGTTGTTAGGCAATGTTGAAATTCAATTACTAATGTTGGGAAGCGAACCATTATATGTATATAATGAGGTATAAAATTGAATTTAGACTACATTTAAATTACCATAGATAATTTGACAGACACATTTATTGACACAATTTTTCAAAAAGGTTTTTAATGTCAAAATATCATATTTGTGGGAATGATCCATCTTTGAATCTTGAAAGCGAACTGTCCAACATCAAAGCTGAAGAAAGCAGTGCAAGAGTCAATTTCAGATGAAACGTGATAACTGTGCAGATGACCCTGCGTTTTTCGGAGAAGGTAATTATAACATGCCATTACAGCCAACTCAGAAAATAAATGTTTTTTTTATATCATCAGCTTGTGCATCTGTTTGCTTTTCTGCACATTCATATCTACTGTATATATTTACATTTGCTATGTATTTCTACAAAGCTAAATGTGAAATTAATTTGAAAGCCATTTTCGTGTATATACTCGCACGTAGAAATATAAAAGGAGAAGCGTGCGTTAACGTGACTCGCAATAAGGTTACAGCGACGTTAGTTAAGTATAACGATATAGGACAGCGAGAAATTTAAACATTAAGTATATTTTTGGTGCTTCCAAACATGTAAATACGAGGGCCGTTCAAAAATTACGCGGACTGTGCTGTTATTTACTCTTACAGACGTCATATAGTTATGAAATTTCACAGAAATATGTATCTTAAAGATTCCAATATTTTTTTTTTCAAAATTTCTGTACTTTAAAAAAATTCTACTAAAATTATCGGTATGTTGATATTGCTGATGGAGAGGTACGGAGCACGACAAAAAATTTGATGCAAAAGCATGCCGAATCCAAAGTTTAAATCATTTATTATCTATAATTTGCCATATTTTTCGATGATTTTCTCAAATGTATCTTTAAATTGTTCTATGTTTATGTATTTAGATTTCTGACTTGTTATGTGAAGTACTAACAGAAATTTAGTGATTTTTTTCTGATGCGATTCCCGTGAAAACGACTGTGAAAATGACGTCTCCTGAATTGACGGCGCACCACACTTTCGTTAAATTATGTGTAATGCTCGAGATACAGCCAACATAGATCCAAAATATGCATCATAAAACGTGTAATTAACTAGAGTATTCGTGACATTCGTCCGCAAATAGCAAATTGAAATTTTAGACCGTTAGAACTCTGTAAGAAGGCTATATGGGGGTTGGACGGGAAGAAGATTATCGACGAAAACTTTATCCGAACTGTAAACAACGTGAATGAGAGTCACCAGTATCACACTATATATCATAAATACCTGCGGTTTTTCGTTTGAAAACAAAAAATGAATATTTTTTACTTGTTCAATAGATTTTAAGCTTGGTAATAAATGGTGTTTGGATGTTGAGTAGATAAGATAACTCAAACTGTACAGGTACTCTTGGGATATATAAGAAAATGAAAGCTCAATCACATATTTTTTTTATAATGCCTGTGACGTCGATGATTATGCTGCTCCGTGACTTAATAATATGTCCGGAAAAATCACTCAAAATTGATACCAATTTACAATATTTGATATGAAATTTTGAAGACCTTATGAGTAAAGATTCTTTTGTATTATGTGTGACATTTTGCCCGATTATTTTGTCAAATAATTTTTCTGTGCAACAAGTCTGCGTAATTTTTTAACGGCCCTCGTATAAGGAATGTTTTTATGGTTTGTGATAATTATTGGTTTGAGAATCTCGCAGACATGCACGTAGACATATTTTTCATGAAGCGCTGGCGCACTTCATGATGTATGCCCACGTGACAAGTCCGTGTGATTCGCACACCCATAACTCACACAAAAGTAAGTTAGTATCTTAAATAAATTTAAAATGACAAAAATACATATATATGTAAAACCAATGTCACAAAGAACTGTTCATATATAGGATCTCACATTATTTGTAGTTGGATATGATTTTTCCAACGAGTTGTTAAGGCTCGGGGATAAAAACACAATGAGCTCGATAAAAATCATACCTAACTACATATCATGTAAGATTCTCTTTATCCCATGTTTTTTACACCATAAATAATGTTTGACACTGTTTTTATATCGGACTCCACTTCATTTTACTTCATCACTCTAACGAAAAACCTATTATGACGTCACAACTGTGTGATACGAAAAGGATATCACATGCACTATACACGATTCCAAAAAGTCGCGCCCTCTTGCGGGAGAGTTACCTACCTTATGTATTGATGTCGTCAAACGAGGATAAACGTAAAATTCACACATGGTACAATGCACAAGATTCAAAACATAGTTGAACGTAAGTACTTAAATGGAAACAATTTTGTGTTAAAAAAACTTGCATTATTATATTTATAGCCGTTGTACTTTACGTGAATTAAATGAAGATGTTGTCTTGACAATCAATGTACAACATTCACAGTAATTGATCCAGACCCTGATCTCTTCATATTTTGCAAAATGTAAATATACACTTCATGTGACAAATAAAAGTACAAACAATGCAGAAAAAGTGAAAGATGGATCTCATTACGAAGACTGATGGCAGGAGTAGAAGCAAATTACAGTTTACTTCTTCCGGAAACCTTTTCCCACACAATGATTTCAGAACATGCGAAATTGTTAGGAAATATATTTAAAACGTAGAAAAACCTGCTGAAAAGGTTACAAGTTTTCTTAAAAAAATATATTTTTTTGGAAAGGGGGGGTTATATGGTATACACGTGTACAATGTATACGTAAGAAAATGATTCTGTGTACCAGCGCAACGATTCCGCTAACTCATACATGTCAATGAGATTAATTATATTTTTAAAACATGTTAAAAGCATCAATAACAATAAATGGTTCTAATAGTACTATTATAATACCGACATCAGGTGAAAAAGAAAAGACATCATGAACATGTGATAACTATCACAGGCACCTGACGTTACTTATTTTTCTTTAAATAAGGAATTATATACCCCTACCTACAAATAAAGACAAGGTAAGGGCTATATTATTTTTTATTAAAAGAAAAATAAGTTAAGTTTGGGCCTGTGATATCAAATTGATAACTCTTTCGCTTTAGGTCTATGATACAAGCGATTAGAGCTTCCTCGTCTGACGTCATAGTAAAGGGAAGTAACTTGAGTGCGCGAATTTTTGAAATCGTGTATATCAACGGAATAATGGATTAAGGTCAAGATCTAGAAAATAACTTCAGACAAATTTTTAGGTCCAGTATGACGTCATAATCAATTTCAACTTTCTTTTTCCCGTACTGTACGGCTTTTGCAGAATTATGTAGAAAATATGGTATTTTTATGACATTCAATTTGAATTAATATAAAAATAAGCCGGATACCTATATTAAATTTGATATTGGTTTAAAGAAAAGGCAACGAACATATTAATTACCGTTTTCTGAGAGACTGTAGGTAATCTGGATACATTTCCTTTGTCGAATATGTAAAAAACTCCCATATTCATGACTGGTTTTCTGAATTTTTCATTGAAAGTGACAGTTTGAAATACAGTTTTTCATCTTGTTTACTTACAAATTATGCCCTAAACACCTTAATCTTATAAAGCATCAATATAGGAATTTATTTCTCAAGTTTGATAAATCTGTAGGCAACTTTCATTTACAAGATCTTGACCTTAAACGGGATTATATACAATAATTTATTTCGTTGATCGATATGTGGTTGTAAGGACTCATGGCAATTGATATAAACCGAAGACACAGGAAGTGATAGCAACCGAGCCTGAGTAATGACAGTTCACTGAAGTCCATAATTTTTATATTATATAATCACTCAAAGTGAATGCACTGACACAGCCCGAACTGAAGGGACTTCATTGACATTACGTTACAATGGTAAAATCCACGATTCTTATTTTATGACGTCACGTACTACGTACTTTTATTGCAACCGAATGGCGTGTCATGCGATATCATTTTCTGCGGACGTTCTTTCGCACCGATATCATGAAAGGGGAAACATCAGGTTACGTACTTTCAGCCAATGAAAACAACAAAAATAATCTTCTTATATAATAAAAACAAATAGCAAATGGATAGAAATTGAACTTTCTTACGGTATGATAAATACTTTTCATCCTTCTTTTTGTACAAGGGATGTCAATTTCACTTTGAAAGATTTTTTTTAAAAAAGATGTGGTTTTAACATGTTTAATCAAACAATAGTCACTGTGGAATACCCATTAAATAGTTTTCTTACAGCAGGTTAGCCATTGTATCTTTTTCACACTGCATGCACATGAAATTATTAAATCAAGCTCTCATGATATGATTTGATACTGATTTAAATTTTAAAATTAGAAGAATTATCTATACTATTTACTTTTTTTTTTTTTTTACATTTCTGCATATTGTATCTACGTGGAATACTCTCTATCAAACACTTAGGACTGTTAACTTTTCTCCAAACATTAATTAACCTACCTATAATTATTCAATAAGAAAGAGGGCATACAAGTGGTGGACTATCCCTTAAGTGATCGGTACATTTAAAAAAAAATCCAACGTATGCATGTGTTCATTTCTAGACATACTGATTTTTTTGGCCCCACCATGGATATGGTCGCGATATATAGTGTTTTTCGAGTCGATATGTCCATCTAGCTTCCTTCCGTCCGTCCGTTTTTCACAATTTGCGTTTACCTTAGATCGAAGCCGTGTTTCAAAGTAACTATAGATTCAAGATATTCTTTATCAAACTGATTGATATTGATAAATGCTTTTTAACTGCATCAACATTTTGTTTCACTTACTTTCCTTTAACATTGACCTCGCTTTCTTAAATGAGTGTTTAGCTCAGTTTTAACGAAACCATTAAAGATTGAGTTAATAAAATTAATATGCTAATACAATCTGATTAAGGTTTTACAACTGCATCTACATTTTTTACCTTGACCCTTCCGTTGATCTTTCACCCAACATTTTCTTTCAAGATTAGTTTAATTGAGATGGTGTCTAGTTTTAATGAATTCGAGTTTGCCTAGGAATTGTTAACTTGTTTTAGAAATATGGCAAACTACCGATAGTTAACAAATTACTGATAAATTTCTCTTATCCTTTGAAACAGTAAAGAGCAAAATAGGAACATTCTCTAGTTTTGTAGCATATGTACAAAAACTATAACACAATTATTATTTGGCTCGTAGAATGAATGTATAATTAAGAATAAGAGCGTTTAAATAATCTTTGTTTAGGTTTCTGCTAAAATGGCCATGTTACTAGCTATTACTTTGTTTCAGCAAAAGATGAGTGATTCAAGCACTTTTAAGGCCTCTGGAGAGGACCTG